TATTTGATATTTGTGTATTCCGGTATGTGCTGACCTAGCCTAATAGCCTGACTGGAATGAAATGATCCATGATTGTCCATTCTGAACATGCCAGCAGGTTTCAGCTCTATTAAAATACAATTAAAAAGAAATGTTTTAAGAGAAAACTCAGGTAGAATGGAAAGCAAATGCATTTAAAGAGACAGCTTTAAATTAGGGACTCATACATTCCAGTTTGTTCCTCAAATATTATTTGTTAGATTAAAAAAAAAACCTGGTAATTAACCAGGTCAGAAATATTTTTTTTTTTTCAAGAAGCTGCAGAGGAGCATCAGCCAAATTCTTCAATGGGAATGTGTTTTGTGTGAGTGCTACTTTTCACACTGATAAAATGCAATAGATAGACAGACAAACTAGCAGTTACAAAAACCACTGTCACAAAAAAGACAAGTTTCCAGCCCCCTTCATCGTAAGAGTGCAAGAAAATGGATTACAGATTTGCTTCCATACATTATTTATATATAAGGATCTTAGCTACTTGCTGGAATTCTGGTGTTGTATCCTTCCCGCTAATAAATATTACTAATCAGAACTCTAGGCAATTTATCCAGTAGATTAACTGCTTCTATCCAGACTGATTTTAGGAAAGTGTATAGCATGGTGTTCTCCCTGCAGAACATGATTTTATGGATCTTTGGCTATTTTTGCACAGCCCTTGCTTTTAGCAATCAATACCTGTCCATGAGCAAGAAGATGGAATTTCAATACTTAGTGATAATGTGCACGATCAAAAAATATAAAGGGATGCGCAGTCAGTCTCAGCTTGAATTACAATGGTACTGAAGGCTGTAGAAACAGTCAACGCAAGAATGACAAACGTGGCTAATTTTGTGTTTGGAGTGTTTCAATATTTTAAAATCCTAATATTTGGGTAAGGTGGGGTTTCCTAATGCAGAAACAGACAGACTTATTGTTATATATATGGCAAATACACCTCATTTTACTTGTTAATTAAAATGACACTAGATTTAAATTAGAGGTGTCCTTCTTTCTTTATTGTTCAGATTCCTGTCTTCAGGAATTACAGTCAATCGAACAGAAACTGATTTCTTTGAGTGATCTTTCAACCCCTTAAAAGCAGGCTGCAACCTGTGGTAGTGTGGAAGAAGTGGGACTAAGGTTTTCTTCTTCATTGCATTCTCGTCTCAAATTTGTATCTTTCCAAATATAGGATACTTAGCAGTTGGGGAAATTATTATTTATTATTATTTAGATCTGTTCATCAAACCTGTATTATTAATTTTGCAAGAATTCTGGGACATAGGCTCATGGATACCGTCGTTTCCTCCATTTTTGTTCTGAGTAATGTTTTTCTACAAAAGAAAGTTGATCCCTTACTTTCCCTTTCCTGAATGTACACCCCAAAGAGAAATGTGTTGGAATGATGGCATTTGGCTGATGAGGAAAAGGACTTTGATGAAGTCCATGTCCTTCTTATTTAAGGATGAAACATCCTCAAAGGTCAATTCCTCATAATTTGGAAGTTCAGGCTACCCAAAGAAGTTATGGTAGTATAATTGAAGGGGTTATTCAAGAACGGCCTGTCAAAAATTGGGATGATTAAGAAATTGATGAATGAATACCTCTCAGTTCAGAAGTCCACAAAATAATCTATTTCTTGCCGCCATGCAAACTCTTAAAATCCCAAATAGTCTTTTCTGCTGCTCTTACAGAGTGAGAGAGAGAGAGAGAGAGAGAGGATTCAGCATAGGCATATGTGAGTCTTTTGGATGGTCCTTATGTACAACAAGGGTGAAGCTTGTGCCCCCTCCCCCCAGATGGTAGTGTATATTTCTTGGCTTCAGCCTCAGTGTCTGGAATCTATCAGAGTCTCAAGAATTGTGGATTTGGAAAGCATGAGGGTTGGTTAAGGAATGATCATACCACATGGGAAGGAGAACCAACATCTAATTTGCAACAGTGGATTGTTGATGTGTGTTGACTGTCAACATTTGAATTAGTTTTTGTTTTCCCTTTGACAAAGGCATCGAGAAGATTGCCAAGCAATTTAGTTAAGTTTTGTTCTGTTTATAACCATTGTTTTTATTTTTTTCTTCCCCTTTTCTTCTCCCTTTTCTATCATTATTACAGTTATCGAAGTTATATTATTCATTAACACAGCTGTATGCACATATACTTTCCTTTGCTAATTAGTTCAGCACAATAAAGTCATATTAAAGAAGGATGTTAATGTATGCAAGTCTGGGCAGCAAATGGCAGTAATGTTGGCTGGGGCCAGGTAGAAAAACCCAGTTCCTGCCAGATGGCACTGCTTAATAAGTGGGACCCAGAGCATGCCAACCTGGATGGATCTGGTGGGATGGGCAGAACAATTGGAGAAAGACAGCCCCACAGATAACCTAGTCCCATGCCATGAAAGGCTTAATAGATGGTAATCAACTATCTCCTTTGCATACAGTAGCACACAATTTTGGGGGATTTAATCAGCCAGTGTTTCCTTCTGTGTGTGGCCTTATTCTCACCACAACATTCTCAGGTTCTTTTTTCACATAACAAGGGAAGGGGGAAAGAGCTGACTGGGTGGAGCAGTTTAACACTATGGAAGATTCAGTCTGCTTTGGACTCCATCTAACCCCCTTAGACTCCTATTGGACATCCCAACCCTCCATTAATCACCACTGCCTGATTAAATGTATCCAGAAGAAGGCCACTGAACAGTGGATTTCAGAAGACGGTAGATCAATTGCCCACAATTCTTCATCTCTGCTGTTCCAGTCCTTTATGTTAGGCTGGGCTACAAAGTAAATGCAAACCTGGATTTATGAAATCTATTGTTGTTGAATACAACATGTTTTTCTTCTGCCTATATACGTGTTCTCTTTCTTGCCTTCTCCCTCTTTGGTGTGTTACAGCTTATTTTAAACCTCTGGGATTTAGAAAGGAAGAAAAAGATGATCTCAAATATCTTGTGTAGCTGCTTCTTTTTTTTCCTTGGTGTACAATGACCTGAGCGGCATTGGAACATGACAAATAATTAGAGGCTGTACGAGCGAGCGCCTTTTTCACATCCTGAATTCTAACACAATCCCAGCTGTTGACGATGAACAAGGGGATTCCTTTCCTAATAGAGAATAGGCACAGCAAGACAAGACTGTGTAGACCTTCTCTTCTGTTGACAATACTTGTAAATATTTGCCATTCTTAAAACCTGGGCCTTCTGCAAGAAAAAGTTCAGATGCTGACTCTTAAAGCACTTATGCATCTTGCCCAGAATGAGCCAAAGAGCACAAGAAGAACCTATTAAGATCCCATCTCGTTCAGTCTTCTAGGCCCCATAGTGGCCAACCAAATGGATCCACGAACCTCACAAGCATGGGCAAGAAAGAGGTCATCTTTTCCCACTATGGTCCTCTAGTAGTTGGTATTTAAGATATACAGTCTATGATATAGATTGTATACAGTCTTGAGGGACAGGGGCTGAGGATCACCATGGGTGAGATGGTGCTGCAAAGCGGGCAGGACCATATCCCACACCTAGATGGAATTAAAGCCTTTTGGATTTTCAGAATTTGGGGAGGGAGCCTTAAAAAAAAATCTTTAGCCTATTTTATGGTGTAAATGTCAAGTCTCCTTTATAGTAGCTCAACTCTAGATGATTTCATAGACATGTCCATGTAATTTCTTGGCAGGAATATGAAAATGGTTTGCTATTGTCATCTTCTGGGATGTTTTCATTGATTTCCCAGACTAGTTGCAGCAACTGTCATTAGCAAGATGGCAAAGCAAAATGAGATGCCTTGATTGATGGGGAGCTAGAACCCAGAGACTGTTGTCAATAAGTGGGCAGAACTACAGCATACCCAGGCATTATAATGCACCACTTTTCAGCAGCGTCTGGGGATGGTCAAGGGTGGGGAAAGGATGATGAAAACAGTGCAGCAGCATCACAATGCAAGCCCTGGCCTTTTTGTAGACGTGTTGCTTCATTCTGATGAAAGTAGCAAACTCCTGCGGACGCCAGCGTCCTCTCGTATCAAGGGTTGACAGTGTGGCATCTGATATGCTGTAGCATTTACAAGCGCCTCAAATTAAATTCAAGATTCGGCAAGGTTTGACATTTGAATGAGACTTCAGCCATTTTTAAAACGATTCTTATAAGTTTTAATTATATCTTTAAGAATGTGTACCTATACATTCAAGTTTTTTCCCCCCTTATGTAGACAGGTTCTACTTTGTAGTACCGTTCTGACACAGACACAAACCGTTGAACTATTCCCTCTTCTCTTCCGCCATCAATTTAAATATTACAGGGGTGAAATTGTAGAGCTGGTTTTCTGGATGGAAAAGGGAAAAAATATTTAACTTTCCTTCTCCACCCTCTCTTAACACCCCGACTTGTTTTCTTCCGTTCCTTGTCTCCTTTCATTTTCTTCTTTCTTTGCAACTGCTTATTTAGTAATAGATTCTGTCTCCTGCTCCTTTTCTCTGTCTCGCCTTGCTCTGCACACAAGGCTCTCTCCTTGTCTTGTTGACAATTCCCCTTTTGGTGGTAGAAGCTCTTGAGACTCCATTGAGACAGAGAAAAACACAGCCCAACTCAGGCACGCCCCCAGCAGTCATTTCATCTTTGCTCCTTTCTTCGCGGGCTTCTAGCGAGAGGGTGGAATGCAGAGGGATCCGAAGAAAAGGAGAATGGCATAGTGGCTAGAGGGTGGCGGTAAAAGGAACGGTCAAGTACCCTTCATGTTGAGTTTGAAACCCAGGGACACATTCTGGCTTATAATAATAGTAACGAACAGGTTGAAGTAAATTCAAGGATTGGATTGTTTGGTGTTTATCTCTCCCTGATTAAACAATTAAGCATGGAAATACGAATGACAATTTGGCATGGCCAAGTTAATAAACTGGCCTGCAATGTTAATCGTGGTTGGACTCTGGCTGAACTCCAGCATCCTATTTGCGTTCAATACGATGACTCCCCTCCTATTTCTTTTATGCAGATGCAACCCAGATGAATAATGTGGTGCCGACATCACCTCTCCTCCCACAACTGGCTCATCCACATTCCTTCCCAAGCATGGGGCAGATTACAAATCCATATGAACAGCAGCCTCCAGGAAAGGAGCTTAATAAGTATGCGTCTCTGAAGGCAGTAGGTAAGCCAAAAAAAGTGCACTTTCCTCTTGACTTTGTGCATCCCATTGGCAGTTTCAACATCTCAGTGATTTTTAATATTCATTCTTTCCTAAAAGGAATCTCAGATGGAGCAACTTTGTGGTTCAAATATTTATAGGAGTGATGCATGACAGGTAGTCCTCATTTAGCGACCACAACTGGAACTGGCAACGTGGTTGTTAAGCAAAGCGGTCACTAGGTGAAACCCTGACAGTGCTTATGATTTACTTCAGCTTTCCTTTGCTTTACAGACCTGCAAATGGTTGCTAAACGAGGTAGTCACTAGATGAGGACTACCAGTGTCAAGCATTGTGCAGTTGACCAGTTAAGGAACTTCAGGACCTTGGACAGTGCTGATAGGGGTTGATTGGCTAGGGTTTGTGCTCCCTAGCAGAGATGTTATTCCAACAAAGGTCTGGAAATGAGAGATTTAAGATTTTATTTGCGCAACATGTTTGACTTGAACATCAAGAGATATCAATACGTTTTGTGAAGCCCCAAACCCAACTAACTGTGCCAGTCTGTCTCCAATGAATAATTCTTCCTGTGTTGTGCCCCATGAAGGTGAAAAAGTGACAAAAATGGACATTGGTGGGTAGGTGCCCTTATCCTATCCTCCATAGTGGCTCCAACACTAATTGAAGTAGCATTTTTAAACTATTTTTCCCCTTTTGGAAGGAAAACATGTTTTAAAAGTGGGGAGTGAAGCCCTATATTCCCCACAATACCAGTAGCTATGAGTACTAAAAATACAGTTGTTGGCCAAAACCCCCAGTTATCCTGGATTATGTCTTGCCAGTATATGAAGGTGTCTTGACTAGGGGAGGCTGGAGCTGGCTGTGTAATGCAAAGAGAGCCTAAGAAAACTGGAAGGATTTAATATTCTAATAAATCTACCCCTTCTGCATATGGACGTTGCCCAGGATATCATTGTCCACGATATACAAGTAGAGCCATTATTCCAGCAAAGATTTTAAAACTACTAAGGCATTAAGAGAGACAGTTTGGTGTAGTGGTTAAGGCACTGGCCTAGAAACCAGGAGACCATGAATTCTAGACCTCCCTTAGGCATGAAAGCCAGCTGGGTGACTTTGGGCCAGTCCCTCTCTCTTGAGATAGATAGATAGATGAAGAGAGAGAGAGAGAAAGAAAGAGAGAGAGAGAGAGAGAGCAGGATAAAAATCTAAATAATAATTAAGAAAGCTGACAGGGTTTGCTATTCATGTAACTCCACCCTTTCTGAATGTTGGCTTTGGTTCTCAAAGAATTCTTCTAATTTCTATAATTTGAGACTTCGGCAAAGATGAGCAACAAAACAAGCTATGATAAAATTATCTTGAGAGTGATTCCAGAATTGAAGACTGGACTATACCTTCAGGCCATGAAGGTGCTGAACTGAGTAGAATATGGGGCTCAAACCAGTGAGGATGCCCTGCATTTTGTTTTAGGCCCACCTCCAGTTTGATACTGACATGCGCATATATTTAAATGAGCCATTGGAGGATAAAAAGCAAGAGAAGAGAAAAGAATGAAAATTGGGAGGCAAGTTGTAGTCCAACCACATCTGGAGGATCAAGCATCTCCACCCTTGACTTTCACAGTGCTTGTCCACTTAATTTGGAAAGGGGAGGATCCTTCACCTTTAAACAAATTAACCAACTCCATTCCTCAGGGCTGGCATAGCCTGGAATCCAGGAGTATGCCAATAGAAAGTATTGTGCTAGAGAGAATCTCAGAGGTAGAGGAGCTACCAAAAAGGGAGAGATTGTTGTTAATTAATGATGATGCTAAAAGCACATAGAGCACCTGTTTCAGCTCACAGAGGGAGGCCAGTAGCTGAACTGAAAAGGCTATTATGTGTCTCAGATTTAAATACCATGAGATTTTTATATGGATGCATTCCAAAGAGCAAAAACAGACCTCTTTCGCTCCCTGTGCCTGTAACTTCACCTTGTAATTAGCTGTCTCTGAGAATTCATGCGAAAAACTCAAGGTCTTCCAGAAAGGCTAAGTAACCTTCTCCACAGGACACATTCACTTTTGCTCTGTCTAACAAAACCTCAGCTTCACAACTTTTCATTTGGTGAAACAGCAAGGGGTGGGTGAATGTGAAGACAGAGACCTTGCCTTGAAGACCTGGAAGCACGTAGACAGGTCTTTTCTACGGGAAAGCCTGGGGAGAACCTTATTTTCCATGCTTCCTAGTTCTGTTCAGCTGAGAAGTGAAGAATCAGTGTCAAGGAGCACCATCTGGGGACAATATTCCTTAGCACTAAGAGAAGATTTTTCTCTTTGAAGTTGCTGACCTTTAATTTAGTGGATCCATCATCCAGGGGAGTGGCAGACCAACCCAGTAGTCCTGCTGTGTGTATCCTAAATTTCTCACTTGCCAAAGATGCCAACAACTCCATATTCTCCCACTTCAGAATGTGTTCCACAAATACCATCCAAAGATTATGCTACTTTCTGGTGGTTGTAAATATGACTGAAGCTGGATAAGTGAATACTCTTATGAACAATACAGTGGTACCTCAGTTCACGAACTCAATTCGTTCCACGATTCTGGTCACGAACTGAATTGGTCGCGAACCAAATCAAATTTCCCCATAAGGTTCAATGTAAAGGTTAATCCATTCTGAACCATATGTATTTTTTTGTAACTACAAAAATATGAAACAAAGTACAGTACA